ATCAAATTAAATATCAGTTATAAAATGTATAAAAAAAAAAAACTTTATTGTGCGAGTAATTAACGTAAAATTCTCAAAATAACGGGCTTAAATATTATTTTGTTTTGAATTTCGTCATTTCGAGAATTTACGATAGTACTATCCTGTAACATACCTTAGCAATCTCGATGAGTTAGAGTCTTTATTTTTATGAAACTGGATTCCTTTTTCAAGAGAAGTTAATGGGTCAATTGATTACTCTTCTCCCTCAAACTTTGAAGTTTTTTTTATAATAATAGTGGTTCACCTGGAGGAATTGGATAATTTACGGCCAATTCTTCAAGCATAAAATTTAGTTCATCAATTTTCACTCGATAATTTGGTATGTGATTCCATGCTATTATAGTAATTGATTGATCATGAAATAAATTAAAGATCATTGTAATAAAGACTAAAACAAAAAAACAGCCTGATAGAATTACCTTTGCTAATTATTTTAATAAATTTTAATTGAATCTCTGCATCCTTAGGGTTTTCAATTTTTCCAATTGAAATGCTTTCCCGTTTACCATCCAAAACATGCTCTGATATCTTTTCAATGTCCAAATTAAGATAAGGTAGTTTTTCATAACAAAGCTCCCAAATAAGCATTCCAAAACTAATTGTGAAAAATATTGATTTATTAAACTGAAAATTAAGTAAATTGTAATAACGTTAAGCATCATCAATACCTGAACATTTCACAATGAAATGTATAGCCTTTTTTGGCATTGTTTACATATTTCTCTATCAGTTCAGGGGCCATCCAACGAATAATATCTGGTGCAATATCTCTAAGATCCCCAGTTTCTTTAGTTACCTCACGAGCACACTTGAAATTTCCCAATTTTGCTTCTAAGTTATGGAGCATCTATAATTTTATTGAATTAATAAGTTGTTTTTTGACCTTAATTTTATAATTTTATTGATTGTACAATGCTTACAAAAATATTTTCACATCTAACATCATGATGAAATATATCCACTCTACGTAAAAAGACAAGACCACGAAAGATATCTCGAACAATTTGTATTTTTCTAGTCCAAGGAATATCATAAGTATCATAAAGTTCTCTTAAAGTTCTATATTCGGCCCATTCAAAAACCATAACTTCCCTATTTTCAACATTTGAGAGACCATAGAAACGAAGAATATTGTCTGTTTGACTTAATTTTCCAAGAATTGCCAATTCATGTTCATATTGGCTGGATGCTTTAATGGGTTTACATGCAACTTGATTCAAATAATAAATTTTTTTAAAGACCTGACCACGAATATCATCTTTAGTTGGAACGATAGGATCACTTAAATCACTTGTTTTAATCCTATCCGCGTGGAAACTATTTATTCGATTATCCATTTGTGATTTCATAAAGTCTACACTTTTGGCTATCGGGTCAAGTTTATTGTTAAGAGTCTAAAAAATGAACAAGCATAATGATAACAAATATTAAAAAATTTTTAATTAAACCAAGTCATAATATTACAAATAATTATACATACATTTTCAATGTCTTTTAAAGATTTATCGACTTTTCGAGCATCTTCATCTCTGGACACTTTATTCGCAACATATAGATCTCTCATACACATATCATATTCTTGAGTTAACCTTTCATATTTACTTTTAACCTCTCTTGCATTAAGGTATAATTTATAGCCTTTAAGCTTTGATATTTTTTCAGTATAATCTTTCATATTTTTCAAAACATTTTCAAAATTTTTAAGAGCTAAATAATATTTTAGTTGACGAAATTTATTCTTATTCTTTCTTATAGATTTTACAATCATATCCATAACATTTTCTGCTGCTTCTACCCGATTCGCCATAATTGAACAAATTTTCTGGTTACATTCCGCATCATTGCAAATTTGATATATTTCTTTAGCCATAATTGAACAAATTTTCGGTATACATTCCGCATCATCGTAAATTTGACAAATTTCTTTAACTAGTTTGTTTACCGTAGCGACTATTGGATTATAAAGTGCTACTATATCTGCTACTTTTGCTATTTCTTCAACAGTAGTTTTAGCAACGGTTTCCATAATTATGATAGAAAAATTTTTAAAGTTTACGAAAGTGTTATTATATTTGATTAGAACGAAACTTTATTCAGTTTTTATATTTTTTTTTATGATTGTTGTCTCCTCAATTTAGTGCACAAAATTGTGGCATGACGTGTCCTGATATTTTTCCGGTGATCTTTTTATTAAACGGCATTTAGAATCTATAGCCGGAGGTAGTAACGATAGTAACAATTAGTCGTAAGAATGTGTTAAAATTTTGACCAAACGGAAATTTCCGATTATCAAAATTGTGCCGGAATTTTTTCATGATTTACCGGAGCTCCGTTATTTTACAGTAGAATTTTGTGCTCTGCCTCAATTTGTACATGTGTAATAACCCAATTTACGCACGTGCATGTTCTTTCGTACGTATAATTCAGGAAATTTGAATAATCTGTAATCGGATAGTTCGTGTGTTGGCCGATGACTATGTCATACCATATTTTTTCCTATATGACCTTGGTCATATAATCATATGACATTTTGGTCATAGTCATCCGCTCATATTAAATACTAATGAAAAAAAATCTTTACTATGATTCTTACTATATTAAAAAAGGTCACAGGTCATATCAATCTTCGTTATGACCAAATGACCTATGACAGGTCATAAAGGTCATATAGGTCATTTAAGTCATGGGCCAACACTGTATTCATCAACTATTGTCTGAAATTATCTAAATTCCTGAATACTACTAGCACTGCCTAATTTAATCGTTGTGTTCAGAGGTACAGGAATATAATTAGACTGTGTTAATATCAAGACATCAATTCACTTCTTAAATTCAAAAAAGGCGATGACTAGCTATTTAGAAGGACTTATTAAAAAAGAAATTTCAGGACTGCATCTTAATTTTATTGAGTACAACAAATTTACTGAATGTCAAAAAGTTGAAAAATTTAGCACTGTGCACAAGTCCTTATTGGAAGAATGCGAATTGCCAGTTGTTCTTAAATGTCCAGTGGATGATAGTTATGACAGGGAACGAGAATTTGTTAATGAGGTACTATCTAAATTAGTTTTAATACGATATTGGAAATCCATTCGAGCTGACGGAAGGTCAACAGATTGAAAAGTATGCTAAGCAGGGATATTAATATGCCGGAACCAGACCACCATCCAAACCGGTTAATGGTTGGATTATCCAGATCAAGCAAACAGATAAGCTAGCGGCACATGAAAATCTCAG